CTTTCCCTTTTTCCCTCTTAATCTGTTCCGTCTTTTTATCCACTTATTTCCTGTCTTTTTTAATCCTCATTTTATTTCTTTATAAGTAATAGAGGGAAAAAGGAAAGAAATAACTGCTATCCCATTTCCTCTAAATGAGAACTAAAAATTAGTTGTTCGGTTGTGGTATTTTGGCATAGGGCTAAAGGGTTGCTGTATTTCCCACAGCGAGATTATATTCGTCACTGAGTCTTCTATTACCGACACTGAGGCCGTGAAAATCAAACAAGTACGCGCTCTTTAGAATACTAACCCGGTTGAATGCATTCTTACTTCATACTCGCCTTAATTCCATTATAATTGGAATAATTCACTGCATTAAAAGGGTGTGGTTGCAAAATCAATCAATATCAGTTGCACAAAATATTTTTCAGAGTCTGAAATACGAAAATAAGAGTTTATTCAGTATATTCAGCTTGTCTTATATTTCGTAATAAAGCTAAGGACTAATTCAGTCATATTTTAGTATTGTATGTCAAGATCACGTTTTTTGAAGATAAGCACTTATCCTTCCAGGCCAGCCGTCTGGACCTTAATCTAGCAAACACTTATCATTAATAGTCGATCGGCTGTTAAACCTTCTCTCCTCATTTCCAGATAGCAATAAACTTCCTGGCTAAAATAAGAGACTCAGTCTGGCATTTTGGCTCAGGAAAAATTGCTCTTAAAATCTGTATACGTTTCATGTATATTTTAAAATATTTCAAAAAAGAGAAGAAAAATAAGAGCTCGAGGGAACTGAATTAAGCTATTTTGTATCGGGCGGTGCCTTTCTAAAGCAGCTTTTTCTACAGAGATTTTCTATGAACCAATGCGAATATTTTCAAGATTATAATACACTCAACAAAAATACTCGATTCTGATTGGACAAGAGGAGTACAATTAAATCCCAAATTGTACTCTGTAGAGTCCCAATAGACCTCTTCGACTCTGACGTAATGTTTTCCCATTTCAGACCACGTGTCATTCCCTAGAGTATCATTTCTTTGTTTAAGGTTTGCGGTCGGTTGCACACGAGAAGACACATGAATATGGATACAGCTCAAACAAAGAATCTTATTCTCAAGGGAATGATACGTGGTATGAAATGGGAAAAACATTACCCCAAGCCGAAGAGGTCTCATTACCCAAAGCGCACAAACTTCACGTACAATTCTGAATTTTGAGATACTCGTGGTGTTTTGAAAGTTCGCCTAAAGGCTAGTCCAATTTTGGAAACTTTCAAAACATCACTCGTACCTATAAATTCCGAATCGTACTCGAGATCGTGCGATTTCCTATACTAATAACTAAATTGTTTTCCACCACGTGGCGTTATAATAACATTCAGTCCCAACAGCGAGTCAAGTTTAATTTCCAACCCATAATGCATTTCCACCTCCAATTTCATACACGGCGTTTCCAAGGTTACCAATGTGATCTAATCAATAGGGATAAACGAAATTCAATCTTTTTAACCGCTGATTTTCTTAATCAAATAGTGATGATGATATTTCGAATGCTGTCAGACTTGGTTAGATCTGATTTAGAGCAAGTATTCTACGCCTCTATTTTGAACGACCATCGGCCAGTTCTATTAAGCTATGACAATTGATGGGATGCAAGCATTTCTCCAAGAGAGTTAAAAGACAAAAACATGATGTCCAATGTGGTGCCGTTAACAATGGATGCTATAAAGAAATCTTTTGTTAAATGGTACCAACGTTCCCGCGACAGGTAGCGATGACGTAACGTGCAATCGAAGAATTCCAACATTTTGAATCTACTATTTTTGGGGCTTTTTTATTTTATTTAAATATCTTTTGGCATTTTTTCTGATATGTGAAAGACAAGGACTATGAATAATCTGTTTAAAATAAAAGATAAAGTATTTGATTTGTTTTTTTGTTATTTGAAATCTTCTTCTGGTTATTGTAATTCAAGGAGATTAATCGAGCTCCATTTTTTTAAAAGGAACTTTCTCAGACACCATTTCTTTTCTGCTCACAACAATAATCACCATCTTCAATGGCGTTTTTTAGAATAAAACCGAACCAATACAATACTTGAACTGTTTGTTTCTGACTTACGAATACATTTTCTCACAATTACTAGCTAGTCTTTTAAGTAAGCGCATCGCTTTTTAAGATTCTAAACTAAATAATACTTTGTCATTTTAGATGATAAAAATAACTTAAAATCAAGAAAGATAAAATAATTTCAGATTTCTTTTAAGATCAAACCAGACTTGAATCAAGTAGAATCGTAAAGGAGTGTTACGTATTTTTTAAAGTTTTAACCCTGACAAATTAAAGCAATGTAACGACTTACCAGAATCTGACATCCAAAGCTTGCTTGGTCAAAGATAACCAATTCAATCGGAAATTTCTTCAACATTGGATTTTTATAGATCTAGAGACAATGGTGTCGGCTCTGATTGTAAATCCACTATTTGCTGATAAAGGCTTTCCCCGGTTTGTTCAGTTTAATCAAAGAGGAATCAGAAGAGATTAAACATCACGTGACAAACCAAAACTCCAAGTCATCATTTCAGGGATTTTCAATATTTTTTTCACACCCATTTGAAATTTGCCGTCTGAAAAAGAAAAAATATATATATTTAAAAAAATACAATGACTGCGCTCAATGAATGAAAATTTTGGCAACGAATGAATTCAGAATTATTTGTTTTAGAGTTTCACAAGTAATGTGCATTCTTTTTTGATGTAATTACGTGCGCAAGGCAATTCTTGCATGGCGTACAGTAGTATTTGATAAGCAAACCTTATATATTTTTTTTATCTTAACGACTCACCTGATAATCGATTAATACTTTTTGTAATCGCTCTTCCATCTTTTGGGGCTTCTTCAAAACAAACCAAAGTTTATCCAATTTTGAAGACTTTAATTGAATTATGGTTCATCTAATTGCAAATCAGCTTTCGCAGTGGACGTTTGTTTATTTAAAACAGAGCAAGGTCAAATCACAATTGACAATATTCAGTTCTAGAAGTTAGTAGAACGTTGAACGTAATTGCTTGTAATATTGCTTGAAGGTGTTGAACGTGCTTGGAGAGAAGACTCGTCTTGTAATGGGAATTCCTGCTGAAGCAGTGCAGTTGAAATACGAGGAGACATTGACCTGAAAGTGCCAGTTCTTGAGTCGTAATCTCTTAAGATCGTTTATATCTTCCGAATATTTAACTATACAAAATAACTACCTTAATGATCGTTTAGTGTTTTTGAAATAAATTAGATTAATTCTAACGCAACCGTTTTAATTATTTTTCCTCTTTCACCGCAATAGATAACTTAATTATTCGTTCATTCATACATTTCCCTACTCTATCTGTCCAACTTGCTCATTCTATTTATCCGTCATGCCACACCCCTATTCCATCCCATTTCCCCATTTTATCTTGCCAAATTGCTAACTCTATCTATCAAAGCCACAACCATTTCCTATTCAACTACCCCTCCTATTATCATTCCATCTTCCCGTCATTGATCCAACCACCCAGCATTCTACCTTTTCAGTTTCATCTCATCCCATTTCACCCATTTGCAAATCCTTTCGTTCCTTCTCCCTTTCGTTTCGTTTTTTCCTTTCCTTTTCCTCCTGGCTTTTTCTTTGCCTTAGATCAATGCATACCTTAAGAGTAGACTCCGTCTTGTCACATGACGTCTTGATCATCCATAACTTAATATTAATAAACAACTCCTCGTCAATAGGTTGCTATCAATAGACGTCACTTCCGGTAATAGCTCTTTTTTGATGGCTTGTAGAATCTTGGAGGTTGTTTTGATCTCTTGCTTTCTGGTTTCATGTCGTAGAAATAGTCAAAAACAATAGTTTGAGGACTTATTTTGATATGTTTTGACTTAACATCCGCTAGTTGCCCCTCAGTCAATCGCTTGTTTGCCCCCCACGGTGAACTCCAAAAAGTCACGTGATTGATAGTAAGCATTATCCAAGTCACCCACAGCCCATAGTCGATGCCCGCAAAGATCTCTTGGGTAATATAAGCCAATACACCAGAAAACATCTGCACAAATTGCATTTTCTGAAACAGAAAAAAAGAAGAGATCAGAGCAAAACAACAAGCCACTAGGAATATTTAAGTGACAAAGAATGAGGCAAACATTGAGGCCTTACTATTTAAAAAAAAAATTATGATTATGAAATCATCAAATATACACCATTTTATGCTCGTCTGGCATTAACTCAAATGTACTGTACAGATGCTATATATTTTCGTATACTTGAATATTAATTAACTCGCGTGAATGTAATCATGTTTGACTGATTTTAAAACAAGTATGCTAAACTTATTAAAGACAGCGCGGATTACACAAGTCGGAAAATGTGATTTATAAGCTCTGACTAACCTGTTAACATAGTATAAGGGTCGATATAGACTAAAATCAACTGGAAATGTCGGCAGTACTAGGCTAAAACACTTTAATAAGTCGGTATAGGAGCATTAAAGCCTGCACGTTTGAGCCGAATGAGTGATTATGCTAATCAAAGGTAAAAGGAATTTACACAGGCAACCCAAAATAGTGAAGTTACAGAGCTGACAAATGATTTAGTTGTTTGTGGGCCACTTTGGAAACCAGTCCTTATTGCTGTATTTACTATGTTGATGATGAAGGTGAAGATGATGAGGATTATGATGATTATGATGCCGATAATGCTGCTGCTGCTGGTGATTATGATGATGGTGATGATGATGATGATGATGATGATGAAGGTGGTGATGATGATGATGATTATGATGATGATTATGATGCCGATAATGCTGCTGCTGCTGATGATTATGATGGTGGTGATGATGGTGATGATGATGATGAAGGTGGTGATGATGATGATGATTATGATGCTGATAATGCTGCTGCTGATAATGGTGATGATGATGGTGGTGATGATGATGATGGCGATGATGATGCCGATGATGCTGATGCTGATGCTGCTGATGAAAATGTATATTATTTTTGTTTGTGACCAAATCAAATCGGGGGATCTCCTGCTTGATATACAGAATGCCTTTTCTTTTCGAAATCCCCCCCCCCCCCCCCCCACCAAAAAATCTACCAAAGTGCAGAATTTATGGACGTTCATGGGCATTGTTCGCGCGCTTTCTAAGTATGAGTTTAGTACGTGAGCTCTCGTCGTTTTAACGTCAATTCAATGTTTTGATAAGCAAAATATCATTAAAATTTCTGTAGTCTTTTATAGCTCCAAAACGAAGTCGGAGACTCCCTTTTTTTAGTTCTTTAAAAGTGATTTGTAATACCCAACTAACAAAAGTTATGAAATCTGACGACGGGAAATCGAAAAATCGAAATCGATCGAAATCTAAATTGAAATAGACCTACCTATATACCTTGGGTGCATCGTTTTCCCATTTCAGACCACGTGTCATTCTCTTGAGAATAAGATTATGTGTCTGAGTTGTATCCATATTCATGTGTCTTCTTATGCTCAACCGTTAAGCAACGAAATGATACTCAAGGGAATGACATGTGCTCTGAAATAAGGAAAACATTACGCGCAAAGTAAAGAGTTCTATTACATATTTTGCGCATAATTGGAATAGAATTTCACGTAATGTGAAAGCTCCAAGTCCGCACTTGAAGCACAATAACATTTTATATTTCTAATTTTAATATTTGAAAAATGGGACCGATCGATTTATTTTTCAGTAAAATACGGCTTATTTTCGACAGCTTTCTATGTATACGTTGTTCACACGTTTTTGCCGTAAAATGGGTGAACTTCCACTCATTCTGACGGCTAAACGAATGCGGTGACCCCCCTTTTTTATTGAGTAATCCAGTACCGCTCGAAAGCTGGATTTTCATTGCTCCCTAAGTACAGTACCGCTTTTGTAAGGTTAGGTTTAGTGCTATTGTTTGGATGACCAATCTATTGTTTTTTAATCCAATCATGTAACTCGTTCCGGGCGGTACGGGCTGGCTCTTTTTATGTGCTCATTTTGCATCTAGTGTGATGTTCTTCCATCATTCAAATTTAATGTCCCACAAGCTGAACAAATTAGCTAGAATATCCGACAATTTAAATTTCTGATCGCGTAAATTAAAAAAAAAATGTTTTTTCTTTTTTAATTTTACAACCACCACTCCCCATACGGGGCTGTTCCGTGACGTTCCCTCCACACGCACTACCACTACATTCTATATTTACAACATATAACACTCAACTCACATGTACATCTTAATCTTCGTACTCTTCTGGTACTCTTTAAAAGATCTGATGCTGCGTAGTTGTTTGTGGGACAAGATTGTAATTCCACTGGGAAAACTGCTGCAACGGTTATATTGGTTCATTATAGTCTGAATCGGAACTATGAATTCGTATCAATCACAAGACTGGTTGCGTGTATCCAGAGACTAATGAACAATGCGGGGGAAAAGACTATTCATTTTAAACTGCAAAAAACATTTTATTTTTATTTAAGATTTGTACAAAGGAGAAAATTTAAATTGTTTTTAGGAAGGATTGAATTGTGTTGAAATGCTTTTAGCAGTAATTGACTGTATTGAATATACACCTACAATTACTAGAAAAGGAATATATATATATATATATATATATAGATACATAAAAAAAACCACACTGGTGCGAACTTTACAAAGTATCCTTGGCATAAATTTGACTGTACAGAACATTCTAAATATTGATTCATCTTTTTTCTTGTATTCCAGTCCGATTTATATATTTGTTTATAGGTCTATAAAATTTCAATTCTACTTTGGGGTAGCATCAAGAAAATTCACTATATATATACGACAAGCCGTTAGTTCCTGCTACAACAGAAGTTATTGAGCATCATCCCTTCGAAGGTTGGTCCACTACACCGGCCCATACACGCAAACACCTAAGGAATAGTCTCTGTTTTCGCTGACCCCAAAAAGGTAAGAACTATAAAGCCTTTTTTAGACCTGAATCCAAACTTGTTATGCTTAAGGTGGCAGGATACTATTGAGAAAAATTCATGAAAACGTTTTTGAATCACGATTTCTTTCTTCAAATTTAATGCTGATTTCAATAATTTTCTGGAAAGTAACAAAAAAAGAGTTTCCCGAGGTCGTTTTTGAGATATTCATACTTGAACACAAAGCGTATTAACAAGTTTTATGATAAAATTATGAATATAATAATATTTAAAAATAAAATTATGAAGGTTGTTTGCGGTCTTAAGTGGTGTTAGTGCTTGCGCACACCGTGGGCTCAAATAATGGCTTCATCGTTGTTGCATAAGAGCGTTCGCAGTTGCTTCATTTAAAATAATAAACTTTATGTTATGTGGGTTACAAATACCACATTATAAGGCTGGTTGGGATCTCTCTCGATTAGTTATTATTAGGTATTATTAGCTCTTTAATATTGAACGATGAGAAACAAATATAGTAAAATAAATATGGCCCAGTTTTGACCACAATTAGAAGTAAACATTATAATAATGATGCTAAAATAGTTTAACTAAAAACCAGAATAAAAACGAGAAGTTGATTTTGGACGTAAAAGAAAAGAATGGCAAAGGAAGAGGCTTATATCCTTCCTAACATTACGGCAAGCAATCGGACAAACAGGCCGGCATTGCTTATATAACGCTAAAACGAACGCCCATCTTTGAAAAGACCGGATTTGGCTGATCTGGACTGATCTTAGTCAGGGCACGGCTATCTCACAGATCGAACCCTTAAACAAAATCTGCATTAATCTTAGTCAATGCATGGTTAGCTCAGAGATCGAACCCTTAAGCAACCTCTACGCCTCCTGTTCATAAGCTTGCAGCCGAACTCAGTTTTTCTGCTTTCTTTCTTTCTCTCCTCTCATTCATTTCGTTACTTTTTAGATATGTGTTTCACATTGTTTGACAGCTGTGCTGCCTATAAACTTTCCAAGATTTGCTCCCTCGGCATCCCATAATTTCTGTCCGTCCGTCCGTCCGTGCATCCATCGTTGTCTTTACTACTAGGTTATGATTTAACTAGGGGAAGGAGTGTTTTGTTGTGGTCATACCAAGCTGAAAAGATCTAAAATAAAGCGTGACTATTTTTTTATGTCTCCATAGAAACCGTTAATTGAGGAAGCCATTTAATGGAATGACCAGCTTTCTTATATTAATTTTCAAATTATCAACTGTATTGAAGTTAAATGGAATCGTAGGCTGCTTTAATTGAACATAGCGGGGTATAAAATCGAGAACGGAACAAAAAATAGATGCAAAATAGCGCGCTCGATGCATTGTATTGATTTGAACATCATGATTGCACGCAATCAACGACATAATGTTTGATATTGAATATCGTGAAACATCTCTGATTAGTCATTTAACTACTTACATCTGAAATCAACGCGGAAACTGGGAGCAAAATAAGGTAAACATAACGTATTAGTATAAGTTGAGTATTAAATAAACGATTCTCTAAGTACCCACAGGGAAAAAAATCACCTGTTATTGTTTTCCCGACAATTTTTTTTTTTCGTATTAGAAAACTATCTCTGAGACGGTCTAGGTGATGCCGTGTCGTGCTCGTAGATCGAACTCAAATGGAATTATTGTTATATTTGTTTTCTCTAGCATATATTCATAGAAATATATTATTCGATATAAAATATGTCATTATGGAAAGAAATTATTCTCATGAAATAAGACGTTAGAATACATCTGAGCTCCAGATGGAATTAAAGCCGTAAAATACTGCTGGAGAACAATAAATAAAGAACACTATATTATTTTCATTTTATCCTAATATTTTCAGAATGAAAAAAAGGAAGAATTTTTTTTCCTAGTTTGTTGGAACTGGTTTGGTTTAGATTTAACGTAGACAGGTCGAGGATGCTATTTTCTTTGTATACGTATTTTAGCTGAAGAAACCAAGTTGTGGTCAGCCAAGCTTCGAAACCCGAGCAGTTGATACACTACGAGCATGCGCACTAACATGATTTTAAAAATTAACTTTTTTTTTTGTAATTTCGCTAAAACGACTGAATTATTACTTGGTCTATGGCAATAATATTATTGTAGCATAAAATTAGTTCGATTTATCCTTTATTAATTAATGCTGAGATATATATCTGAAATGGTTTATGACTGATGTTAAGCAGTTTTCGTGTTCTTTTTGTTTCCGCAGTCAGCGCTAGTATTCTACTAGTTATCACCACTTCTTTTTGTTTGGTTTGTTTTACGAGGAAATCTTGATTCAAAGTTGTTTAAACAATCGACCTTTTAATTTCCTTCGATAGAGTTTTAATTTAGCAAATGATTTTGTATTCTAGACCTGTTAGTTCTGTCGTTAGTTATTGCATGGGCTGGAAGTCAAGCATCTTATGGTTTTTATCAACAACCTTCTTGCATTCCACTCGTCTGCTCGTCTACGAGGCTTGTTTCAGTGTTCGTTTGCTTGTTTTTGTATAAAATAAAATAAACAAACCACATAAACCAGGCATTACATTTTTCCTGCCTTATTTTTATTTACATTTGGTTGTTCTGTTATCATATCTATAAATGATCCATCACAGTGCAGGGGCGTGGGAGCATAATTTTTGTTGTGGTGGCTAAAAAGAAAATTAAGTTGTATTTAAAAAATAGAAAGAGTGCGTCTGCTGCGGGTATGCGTCAAGCTTCTATTAATTATTTTTGAACATATAAGAACTTAGTTTCATAATTATGAATATTTCAGCATTTTTACAAATGGTAAATTTGAAAAATTATTCCCAAAAAGTGGCTCCTACGTCCCTGCAGTGAGCTAGTTTTATCTTAAGGAAAGTGTGATGAGTTTTTGCCCATTAACTAATTATACCAGTAATTTTTAATGCGTCGAATCCATTAGGGCAAATATTATCAAGCATTTTATCTACTGATCCAGTTCCTAAGTAAAAGCTTGACCCTTAAAGGTTGTTGTTTCATCTCGTTATTTTCGTGACAATTTCTTAATATCAATAGTCTAGACACCTGCAGGATTTCATGCCTTTTGAAGACAGGAAATGGAGCAGGATTAATCACTGGTTAAAGGAGCTTTTGAGATTCCATGGTCACATGAATGAAACGAAGCTGAGTCATAAGATGTTCGCAATCGATGTTACTCTAAGGCCTTGGCTAAACAAGGAAACATGACATTGTTTCCAGAAACATGTTTACCGCGCGCATGTTTCCTCGATGTTTCCGAAATGCGAAACATTGCTGCGTGCAACAAATTTTGCTTCCAAGACGCAAAAAATGTTTTTGCTGTGCGACAGAAACATTTCATGTTTTCAAGAGGCATGGAAACATTGTTTCCCGATGTTTCCTGACAGTTTTGCCACATTTAGGAAACATTTAGAGAAACATGTTTCTGGAAACATATTTCCTCGTTTAGCCAGGGCCCAATACTCTCCGCAAACTGGCATTCGTTTCAAGGTCGCATATGGAATACAAAAACAGACCTCAAATTCGTATAGAGAAATGCGATCATTATGATAGAATTACTATACATTAAGAGAGAATTATTTTCGTATTCAAGCAGTGAGCGCCAAAAACTATTTTCTTGAAGAAAGGCTGTTGTACAAGGCTAAAATCTTGTTATTCAGAAAGTTTAACATGTTTGGAAGTGGAGGTAGCCGATGAAAGTGGAATCAAAGTTTTAACCCAAAGCAAAAATTTTATTCGAAAACGAGGTTTAGGCCTTAATGTCTTAATGCTTCGCAAAACTTTAAAAGCAACGTAGAATCTTTTAGTGTTGTATCGGCATAACGTTATCAATGTCTAATCATTAGACGATTTAACGGCAAACCATAGCAATAGATCTGGGTTTGCTTTATCTTGACAAACACTATAAGCCAAGAATCTATAGCAACTATTCAGTAAGTTTTTACACCAACATAAAATGTGATGCAGCTAAAGGCAGCCTTAGCACTGTCGTTGACAATTATCATAGATTTGTCTTAATAATTTCAATCACAATGGACTGAACACCTCGAGTTCTTGGTTATCCATCTTTACTGTCTGCTTCAAATTTTCTGCAATTTTATATATTTGTAAGCTGTCTACCTAGGCTAGCCCGCAAAGGTTATTGTAAACAGCCTGCATCCTCAAACAAGTTAAAATTCGATATATGCAAAATATTTGTAAGTTGAAATGATGCCAAATAAAAATCTTGTCTTGTCTTGTCTTGTCTTGTCTTGTCTTGTCTTGTCTTGTCTTGTCTTGTCTTNTTGTCTTGTCTTGTCTTGTCTTGTCTTGTCTTGTCTTGTCTTGTCTTGTCTTACCTATTAATAACCCGCTGATACCTATATAATAGTTCACTTAACTCTCACGTAATGCGACAAAGTGCAAAGAGAAAGGAATAACTAACTACTTAGCATCTTATGATAATAATAATAATACTTCATTTATATAGCGCCGATTCCATGAAAATGTCCAAAAGCGCTATCTTGTTGATAGTCCTCAGTGAAAATCAACCAAAAACAGTTTTGCCGGATACTTGTGGGACGTTTTAAGCCATGATAAGACAAAATTATCCCAGATGTCTACAAAAGCAATCCATGGTCTATTGCTGAAACACTCGATTTTTTAATATTTAAAGAGGAACTTTTTTCAATAATAATAATATAGCGCCAAAGACTAGACTTTCGTATGGGTTTTGATCCCAATTTTCGTTTTGAGTAAACACTCAAAAGCTTTTTTAAACAGTTAGAAACTGATGTACTTTGATAAAATGCCTGTTTGAAGCGGTATTTTCAATTGTACGAATTAAAGATGTTTTGTTGCGTTTGTGTTAGAATGTTGCTTTGTAGGGCTTTTTTATAGAAAATATATGGGAAATAAGCAAATGAAGGCTTAAACACATTTTCGAATAACATTTTTGCTATGGGTTAACACTTTGATTCCACTTTCATTGGTCATCTCCTCTTCCAAACAAGTTAAACTTTCTGAATAACAAGATTTTAGCCTTGTACAACAGCCTTTCTTCAAGAAAATAGTTTTCGGCGCTCACTGCTTGAATACAAAAAGAATCAGTCTCTCTTAATGTATTCCGTATCTACGGGTCAATTTTTAGCCTTAAAACTCAAAATCTTTTTATGACCAGTAGGTGAAAGATAATGGTAGCAATCTTTTGGTCTTTAAGCCTGTTTTATTCACTAGCGGAAGAGGGATTTTCACAGATAACTAAAACAAGTCAATATTTACAAAGAACTTTGAACAGGTGGAAAGATAAGTATCTTTAGTGTTCCTATTTAAGAGCATCACTGTGCTATATAAGATACAAAGTATGGTTAAGTCTTTACTGTGAAGAAGTTCGCTTCTCAGGACTTGGTTAACGTCTTGATCAGTTAAAACTAAAACTACTATCGAAGATAACTTATTCTATATAAATCAGGTAATATCATAACTCTAATACCTATAATAATAATAATAATAATAATAATAATAATAATAATAATAATAATACCTATATAGAATCTATACTATCGTATCAATTATGTGTTGAATATTTATTTCAATTGAATAGTTATGTAAAATATTTTCTCAATATCGGGGATAAAATAATGCCTTCGTTATATTTTTGCTAATTAAATTGCGAATTAATTGAGCAATAATTAAAGATGCCCGTCCTGATTATTTCAATCGTACACTTCATATTGCCGCACGATCCCGAACCTAGAAACATGAGTGCTATATACATGATAACTGTGTGTATATGGGAGTTCAATTAATGGATAAATACTTTATTTCACTTGTTGCCCTAAGGCTGTATCTGTCATATATTTCCTTGGTTACTTATATTAAAGCACTTAAAAATGTGTATATGGCAAACAAAAGCGAGTGTGTTCCATTTGGTAGCTCTTGCCTCGAAGAAAAAGAAAAAGGAAAAAGTAGCTCTCTCATTCTAAATGGTATTGACATATTTGAACAAATAGTAAATTTTAGGCATTTATACGTAAACTATTCATGATAAAAAAGTGACTTTACTGTTTTTACACATTTAAATGGTCTTAACCTAGCTAGCTCCTTTCTCAGCTGAAGAAGACAACACAGCTGCAGTCGGAAGGTTATGTTTTTTTTAAATAAACCATTTAAACGCGTGAATATCGTTAAGTGTTTTTCTTTAGTTTGAACAAAGTTTGTGGTGCTTTGTGCAAAGGAAAGACAATAACGCACTTACCTTCTTTATTCCAACCCCAGTTATTATTTGTTTCTTTCCAGACGCTTTGTTCTTCTCTAAGAGCCAAGCACGATATCATTTATCTTCTAAAGGTAGGCTTGTGTAAAATATATCTTCTGGTATCTTGTTTCCGAATCGACAGTTACACAACAAGTAGTCCTGAAAGAGAAAGCTAAAAGTAAGATTATCTAGTTCGTAGTTATACGAGAGATTTGTAGATAGGCTGTTTGTTTGATTATTCAAAGGCAGTAATTGTTGAGAGGGATGGAGGGATGAAGGGATGGGGGGATGGAGGGATGGAGGGATGGAGGGATGGAGGGATGGNGGATGGAGGGATGGAGGGATGGAGGGATGGAGGGATGAAGAGTCGTCGCCTTTGTCTTTCCAGCTTTCTTTTTTCATTTCCTCTTTAATCGGTCCCTGAATCGTTCTTGCTTAATGATTTGATAAATAGAATGCAGTCAAATCGTTTCAATGGGCTGATAAAAGCAACTCTTAAGCTTCCCACCTTCTCCTATAATTTAAGCGTTTTTCCCCCCTCAGTCATAACATAGAATTGTGATGATGTTTTACTGAAGATCCTAAAGATTGTTTCAAGAAGGCTGATAACAAAATTATTCAATTTCCTTCTCCTGCAATATAAGTACTATGAAATCGACCCAATATGTTTAATGTCTTTTTTAAAGAGTAGATTTAAAGTCCTGATATAAAGAATTAAACCTGTTAGTTAAGTGGATTTATAAAATATTTGGGATACTACGCGCGCTATGATTGGTCGAATACCATGTTTGATGAGAGTATCAAAACACGCTATCGTCATTTTTAATCTATTGCGCGCGCTCATTGGTCAGTTTGAATAAGACGGCACGTAGGGAGAATTTACTTAGACTTTGCTTTTTTTCGATCTTTTCGCGCGTTTGTTATTTTATAAAAAAGATCAAAAACAGTTTTCCGTGTTTGATACTCTGATCAAAACACGCGGGATGTTGAGAGAACACGAGAGGAGCGTAGGAAACCACGACGCGTAGCGGAGTCTTCGAGCGGCGAGGTAAATATTTTCCATATTCACTGAGCCTGAGGCGAATAATTGTTTTAGCATATACCAACTTGTGTACAGAGTAACTTATTTTTATATACAATAATTCAATAAAAACAAACAAACAGAAACTTTTAGTTTGCGTGACAAACTAATATTAACAAATATTATTTTTCGAATAATGAAACCATTAATGTAATCTAGGAGGGTAGACTTGAGGCGCTTTGACAGTAAAAAAAAAATTTTCCCAAACCATATTGGGATACCTCCAACAAATGTTTTCATACAAAATTTTAATTCTTCAAAATTCATGTCTTCGCAGTCTTTGGACTTAATCCCTTAACTCCACAGTTTTATTAATTTCAACATGCTTTTTCCAGCTATGGCAATTAAGAGAGAATTATTTTCGTATTCAAGCAGTGAGCGCCAAAAACTATTTTCTTGAAGAAAGGCTGTTGTACRAGGCTAAAATCTBGTTATTCAGAAAGTTTAACWTGTTTGGAAGYGGAGATGACCGATGAAAGTGGAATCAAAGTGTTAACCCAAAGCAAAAATWTKAWTCGAAAATGAGGYTTAGGCCTTCATTTGCTTATTTCCCATATATCTTCGATAGAAAAAGCCTGACAAAGCCACATTCTAACACAAATGCAACAAAACATCTTTGTACAATAAATACCGCTTCAAACAGGCATTTTATCATAGTACATCAGTTTCTAACTGTTTAAAAAAAGGTTTTGAGTGTTAACCTAAAACGAAAATTGGGATCAAAATTCATAGGAAAGTCTAGTTTTTGGCACTTATTGCCATTATTGCTCATTATTGAAAAATATATCCTCTTAATCGTTTTCTCTATGAGTTTTGGAATTACCTGATAAAAGCTCATTTGAGACTTTTAAAAATATATTCGTTTGGGACAATATTTGCATTATCCTTTTGTTAAAGTATTACTAAATAATTAATGCCCGTTCTTGGGCATTAACACTAATAATCTATACCATTATTTACTAGTCTGGTCTTCTTGCGTTGTATGTCTCTTATCTGAAGTCATTTTCTCAGTTCTCAAGGTAAGAAAGAATTATTATTTTTTAGTTATAAATTTTGTATCAAATAACGGACGGATTTAGAATTAGACTGTCTAACATTAGTTGGAAATCATCAAACAAGACTCACGGGTACTTTCCTGTAATGAAGATCTGAACATCTTTTGGTACTATAAATCATTTTAGCAAGCAGCAATACTGGTTTTTCCCAATATATTTTTGATACTTGTATATAATACAAATAAAAAGGGTCAAAGTTGATATATTAATATATATCTTTATTATTTTTTCTGAAGAAGGCCGAATGGCCGAAACGTTAAATACAATTTTTTGGAACAGTTAGAAGTTGCCTGTTTTCTCTTTTTACTTTTATATACAAGCATATTTCTATGAAGAGAACATACTGTTGAATTCTTTGGAATCCTTCTACTGGAAGTTCATTGTTGATCTACAATCTATATTCAAGTTTATATTTATTTATATATATGTATATGAAATAAGCAAGTCAAGCATTTTATATTCTATTCAAAATTATTAAAAATAACAAAATACCCAATTTTTTTCCCGCGTTTAAAGATATAAAAAGCTCAGTGCGATTCACGATGAGTCGGATCACTAGCTCTCTCTTTTTTTGCTAATAACCAGCTTGCAATATGGACCCCTTTTCACTTCGTGCTTAATAATGTAAAGGAAATTAAACGAGCTGAGTTCAGTCATTATCAGTTCACCAAGTTGACCAAAACAAATAATTTGAGGGTTTTTATAAGGTACGTGGTGCATTCTAAACCTATAGTCATATAATGGTTTAATTTCGTAAAATATATTCATAGTATACAGTGTGAGCATTAATAATAGATATCTGGCTGACTGTTGATTAAAAAGCACTAGCTACATTTAAAGAACTTGGAAATATTAGTTTGTATATCGATAATATTGACTGATATATTTGAGTTGCAAATTGTTTTGCAAACCGCTGTATATATATACATACAGGGCTTTGCAAAAATTTTGTAAAAGTCAAGTATATCTATATCTGTATAAAAAACGATTTTCAACCAAAAGTTAGCCAAATATCTTTTATTAATGTTTACAATGTACAGTACGATTATATTTCACCGAAAATATAGTATTTAATCTTTATTGAAACGTTTTTTTAAATTAAACATTACCCTTAATGGACCCGATATATCGATATATCGATATTCATTTTTTTACAGAATTTTATATATATGTATATAAGCAGTATATAGAAGTAGATTGGGACGCCAACAACCATGCCACGAGCAAGTAGGATCGAAATGATACAGGACGCGACGTCAATCGAATAATAGATTAATGAATGTGAAGAGACATTTCAGCGAACCACTTACTTTCTTTCTCGACCATGCTTTTAAATAGCCTACTGGTTTGCCTCCTTGCCAGTTGGGATTCTTAACACACTTTATGTTTCTTTGATTATTTCTTCATATTTTCAGTTTAGTTTCAGTGTCCCCAAGTAGTTGTATAAACTAAATACATTGACACTTAAATAAGGTTATTTATTTATACTTTTATAGTTATTTATTGGTTATTTATTATTTATTTATTTCATTTATTTACTGGTCTACAACCGTGAAATTTATTCATTAAAAATTGTAATTCTAAAAATATACAAACAAGAGGTATAGGAAAAGAACTACAAAAATGAGTGAAAAATAAATAAAAATGGTTGAAGAAGGCTAAATAGGCCGAAACGTCTATCAAAGTCTTTTGAATGGCATTATATGAGTGTCATCAGTAAACTAAATCCTGCTAGGAATTTTGGTGCGGGATGCCTGTGTTTTTGGTTATTGACTCGATCGTTCTTTGTGGTGCCTTCAGTATTTATAGTCTGCGGTAACTATACTTTAGCTACTCGCAGCGTTCTTACTTTTGTTGTACTCCAAAACGTGAAATCTTAAGTAAATAAAAACAGAACAGTTATTTATTTTTCGTTTGTCATGTTTTTTTGGTTATCGTGCCAAACAATCAGAGCTTTGCAATTTTTTTGATCGCGTTTCCATATGTTGTAATTAAAT